TGTGAGGAAAAGAGTCCTGGGATAATTCAGGTTTTTTTCTTCTTACAGGCTGGTGACTGGAAAGTGAAATGAAGTTTGAGGTTCCTCTGGTCTTGGTTTCCTTGCAAGGAATATGTGATGTTGGGGTTTATTTCTCATGAAATACTGTCATTGACTTGTGTGCAGGAACTGTGGAAGAACCTACATGAAAAGATGAGGATTAGGGGAAAATCCCATTGTTTCAGTGCCCCATAGGCTTTCTCTCTTGACATGAACTGTTCATGTTCTAGATGATACAACTCCTATTTTGCTGCCAGTGGTTGAAGAACCTCCTCCCACACTTGACCAGAGCCCCCTTTACCTCCTTGTTCCTCAGGCTGTAGATGAATGGGTTGAGCATGGGGGTGATCATGGTGTAGAAGATGGAGGCCACCTTATCGAGGCTCCTGTGGCTGGCTTCCGATCTGTTGTTCCATAGAACAAGACAAAAACCATCAAATGGGAGGCACAGGTCTGGAAGGCTCTGGCCCTGTTCTGTGCTGAGCACATGCTCAGCACTGTGCGGAGGATAGAGATGTAGGAGAGCAAAATGACTACACTGGTGCTCAACTTATTGATGGTGATGAAAGCAAAGATGACCATCTCACTGCTGTGGCTGTTGGAGCATGCGACCTTTAGCACAGTAACTTCATCGCAGAAGAAGTGGTCGATGTGTTTGAGACCACAGAAGGAACCTCCAAACGTGCACCATGTGTAGATGATGGCACTGAGGAAGGCAAAGAGGTTACCAGCTGCCAGCAGTCACGGCTGGAGATGATGGTCACGTAAAGCAGGGGCTGGCAGATGGCAATGTGCCGGTCGTAGGCCATCATGGCCAGGAGGTGACACTCAATAGTAGCAAAGAAAGCAAAGGTGAGGAACTGCATCATGCAGGCAGAGAAAGAAATGGTTTTGTCCTCTGACAACAGGTCTGCCAGCATCCTGGGGGAGACGACTGTGGAATAGCAGATGTCAACGAAGGCAAAATGGGTGAGGAAGAAGTACATGGGGGTGTGGAGGCTGGGAGACACCCGCACCAAGATGATAATGCCAGCGTTCCCCACCAGAGTGACAACATAAATCAAGAGAAACAAGACAAAAAGAGGGGTCTGTGCACATGGGCTGTCAGTAATTCCCAACAGGATGAATTTGCCATGTGTGTGATTTCCTCCCATGACCAGGTGTGACCTGCTGAGGCAAAAGGAAGAGGAACATCACTCTGATTAAAAATAGAGATTCACTTTTGGACCATATACCACTCTAATCAATGACCATTTTAACTGTCACATTTTAGAATTTATCTCTTAAATGAAATGATATACATTTTATGTTTTTCAGGTCAAGAATTCAGAAAAGAACTGGGATGTCTTTGAATCAGCAAATGGTATTTTTGATTTTCTATGCTGGGACACTTAAA